GTCGGGGAAGGAAGACGATAGACTGTTCTGCTCTTGTGTCTTTGACCCAAAGTGGGCATTACAGTGCAAAAGAAGGGTCCTGTCAGGTATACAGCTATAGAATCTTTAGGTTTAGAACCAAAGGAGGAAGGAATGGGACTCAGCTTTTGATTTCCTGATAGGTGGAAAAAAAAGAAGATATTTATTGTAAGATGAACTTCTCTGATATATAACTAGATTTTCAAGGTCATAAGACATTCTGAGCTATGGGAAAACATTAGGAAAAGGAAAAAAATAATGGTAATAGTATTCAAGAACACTTATCAAGCACTTGCTATGTCTCAATCCCTATTGTAAATACTCTACAGGAATCATTCTACTTAATCCTCCTCACAACTCTATGATGTAAGATGACTATATCCCTGTTTTTCCATGTGGGAAAACCAAGACCAGAGTGGTTAAATAAACTACTGAAGGTTATACAGCGAATGAATATCAAACTAAGAAATAGCTACTTTTTATTTTTTGTTCAATGTTTCATTCCTTTATTTTTTATAAATTTTGGAACTCCCATTGGTTAAATCTGGGCATATACTTCAAATATGCATATTTAAATCACATTACTACCAGTAATTTTTAAATATTAAAATCATAGTTAACATTTGTCATAAGGTTTCCACAGATTTATTATCTAATTCAATTAGTTATGCCTTATAAAGAAGACAAAAAGAGAACCAGAAAGGAGAAGGGGTTTACCCAAGATCACACAAGATCTTAGCTAGGCAGGAGTTAGAACCCAGATCTGCTGACTTTGAGTCCCGTGCTTTTCCCACCAAAAGATAAAAGTTCCTTATTCAGAGAAACTGACCTTTTTTTAGAACTAACTCTATGTAGTATGATATAATTTATGGAGTTTTTTTTTATATTAGTAATGATTTTTGACAAATGTCTCAAAAGTTACCTTGAATATCATAAAATGCAAAGCTTTCTGAGTAAGAGAATTCCAGCAGGGGGGGAAAAGAACTTTAAAATCGAAGGCTTTGGCATAGAGCAAAGAGCAAGTGAGGTCAAGTTTCGAAGCCTCTAATTTTGCAGAGTATCCCCAGGAGTGATCTGACATCTTGGGGAACATTTTGTGATTTGACCTTTTGCAACCACTGCCTGCAGTTGCCTGAATTTGAACGTTCTTTTTCCAGCTGCTTTCAAAGCCATTGTAGAAAGCTTGGTATTCTGATAACATTAGGTTTCTCAACCTCTGCGGGGTCTTTTCTTTAAGAAAATGTCAGTGCCTGGATTAGATTAATCAGGTCTGGCTTCAAATGCAATGTTATGCCAGGCCCATTGAAAGAGTGAAAACAAGAAGAAAATAAAGTGTTCCTACTAACATGCTTATTTCTCTAGGAGATATTTCTAGGTTTCGAGTTATAATCATTAAGGACATTTCTTCCTTTGCCTCCTGATTTTGGAACCATTTGTGAGATACATTCTCAAATTCAACAGATAGGGTTCAGATACCTACCATCTTTATTGCTGGTGGCATTGGTTTGAGGATAAGCTTGTAGTCACATTGGGGATTCTCACTATTTCTCATCCAAGTCTAATCTTTGGTATTAACCAACTCAAAGGAGAGGTGGCTGTGCAAGATCATCATACTTGCTTAGAATAGCTGCCTGGCACCTACTGGATACCTAAAGTAGGCACTATGTGAGAGAAAGCACTAGATTAACCCCTAAAAATTAGCCCATGCCTTGACTCAGGGGAGCTTACCAAATGGATAACAGATATGTAAGAAATCATTATCTCCATCCAGTAAGAAAACACCTATGTGGTCAAGTGTCCCAATTTCACCAATCAGATAATACAAAATGAATACAGCGGGAAGAGGTCAGAGTGGAATTTTTTCTTTTCAGTCCTTCTAAAATGATAGAAAATGCTATTTAACAGATCAGGAAAACAATGAGGGAAGATGGAGCAACGCTGCCTCATAGAGGCGTATGTCCCACAGCAAGTCCTGCTGAATGTTTATACTATAGACTCTAGCAAGAATTCTCTAAAAAACAGGTTCTACAATCATGCACCTTTGGAGAATTTCAGGTTAAAGTAGACATCTTCCATAGCGCAGAGCTGCATCTGTGGTAACGTGCGTTGCAAACCTCGAGTGGAGGAGCGTGCTATGAAGCAAAATCAAATGCTCCCAAAGAAGCCATTATTTTTAGTATATTATCGAATCAACACTCAATGAAACACATTTTTAGACACCTTACTTTAAGTGTCCCCCCCAACTAATTTCTTCTTCTTTCTTTTTCCTTCTTTTATCTCCCATCTTTTATTTTCCTCTCTTATCTCCTCTTCTTTCTTCTTTTTCCTTCTTTTTTAATATTTTGATTTCTGCTGGCTTTCAAAATTTGGAAGAAATATTAAACAATGGATGAAATAAAATACAAGCTGAGAAAAAGAACAAAAATTATAATGTTAAAGGATAAAAATTATTTGTAGAAATTAAATTTATGAAGAATACTTAAAAAGAATTAAAAAATGCTTATTTTGGAGAGAACAAGGCAGCATCCTTCTAATTATAATTTGAACCCATATTTCACGATTCAAATGCCCCCTAATGGTTCTAAACTACTGCGTTTCTAAGCTTTTTGTACCTGTTAGATTACTAGAATTAATGGAAATTAATGTGAGAGCTTTGGCTTTAGAGTAAAACCTTGGTTAGATGCCTACTCCAATATCCGTGGCTGTAAAGAAATTACCACAAATTCCGGAACCTTTGTATACTAATCAGTGAAATATGTCTAATAATAGTAAAGCATAGTTTTGAATGGCATTTAGAGTGCCTAGTAGAGTCTTTGTCGTATAAGAGGGACTGAAAAATGATGGAAATTATAACAAGAATTGAGCATTGCAATAATCCTATAAGGTTTCTGTGGTGGATGTTATCATCTCTGTTTCACAAGAAAAGAAACTGAGGCCCAGAGTGGCAAGTTAAAATCACTTATTAATATCAACAATTAGTTCTTAGCCATCTTGGGACAAGAACTCAGTGCAATGGATACACTCCTGTTTTTACAAATTTGTGAATGCCAAACAACTTTTCAGGAGAACAGGCTGATGGCTTCATAGTAGATGGAACGAGTGGCTGCTCATGGTTGAAGACTCCGTTTTCCAGAGACAGACCTGTGGACCAGGACTTTCCTGTGGGGAAATCTTGCTCCTTCACAGGTGACAAATAGGATTTCTACTCAATTCCTCTGTGAAGTGGAATCTTGTCCTTTCTATATCAGCATGGCAAAATATAACATACCGACCCCTTCTCTGTGGCCCTGGGATTGACAAATTAATTATAATCTCTAATTCCAAGGAGCATAAAGTCCTTCCTTAGCTAGTACTTATCTATGGTTGACTGGAGGTAAAAGACTGCTCTTTTTCTTAGGATTTCTCAGATTTCCACTGACATCTCTACTAAGCCAGTCAAATTTTCTTATCAAAGTTGACAGAAACAGATATAACTACACTATGGTATGCGTTCCTTAGTGGTTTCTTCTCACCTGTCGAAAATATTTCCAGTCAGTGACTTACAGCCATGAGAGCTAAGAATGAAATATGAAGTTATGTTTTTAAATTTCTCCCACATGAGACTTCTCAAAGGGATAGATTAGGAGACCTAGTGGTGTCACAATAACGTGCTATGCAAGAAGTAACCACACATAAAAGACTATTGTGTCACCTTTGACTTAATAAGCCATGTGATATGTAAGCAGTCTGTACTTCAGAGTCCAAGTTGAACAGAAGAGGATATTTAATTTTTGTGACACAAATTTGTGAACTATATTAAAATGATGGTATTAATGGTTTTCGTGGATACATTGCTGTTCATATAAAGAAAAAGAAAACTGGCTGCTTTACTCTTATTCCTGAAGGTTGCAGGCAGTCTTTTAACAAAGGCTAAAAACAATATCACTCAACAGGAAGCTTACTTACCAATGTCAGAGAAGCTATTTTGTAAAACAACTATCTTTAGGAAGTTGCAAGTACCACCTCCTCCATCGATTGTATCTGAAAGATTACAAAACACTTTGTTACCATTAGCACGTACGGCACAGCCTTAGCAACAGGTATGATTATCCCTGTTTTACTGGGAGAATTTAAAAACTTACCCATGTCTCTGCACCTTTTTAATGTCATCAGTAGAACTTGAATCCTGGGACTGGATCCTGTGTATTTTCTGCTACCACAAACTACTCTGCACTTATGTAAAACACATTTTAGCATCTAGTCAGATGTTGGTAGGAGTTACATTTAATTATGCTGGGAAATTGCATTCCCTTTGGATGGATCAAAGTGGCAAATGCATTCATTTGTGTCTTCAACTTTAGATTTCCAAGCCAGTTGTTTTATTTATGCAAATCCCAAGGTGAATTTACTTGCTGTATTGTTGGAATTTGATGATGGGCTCAAAATAATGAATTGCATTACGAAAGGCCACATGGAGCTAAGAATCTGTCATAGCTCTTTCAGAGGGTGAGGAAGAGACACTGTTACACTAATGAAGAGGATTTTCCAGTAAAACAGTACAGAGAACTGAGATAGGAGCAAATACCTAGATTCCCTGTCTAGAGAAAACCACTAATCTCTGGAGGTTTTGTGAATATTGAGCTTCCTTCTGTCCAAAGCTATTCTCTGAGAGGAATGCTCTAGTTTGGTGGTTGAGTCAGACCAGCTGGTATTCCATACAAATGTTCACAATAACACTATTAGGTGTTCTAGTAAGGAAGTTGAGACTGAGAGAGTTGAGGAACTTGCCCCAAATCACACAACCTGTTTGTGAGAGCACTAGGATTTTTGAACCCAGCCAGTCTGACACCACAGTCCTTGCAGTGGACATTATTAATGTCCCCTTCTTCCATCACCTTCTCTGAGCTGATGCACTCATCCTTCAGGTGCTGCAAGGGTTGGGTGCTAACAGTCCCCTTCTCTGGAATTGCCTTTGGCCAAAATAGAGCCATTTCCACTAGGAGATGAACATCACCCCACTTCAGCCTACAGAATGCAAATTGCTGCTGCTCTTGCCTCAAGGTGGGACTAACTATGTGGTACAGTTTGTTCCAGAACCTCCCGGAAGCTCTTTTCCTTAGGTTGAAGCAAATCCATGCTTTTTTCCGCTGCCTTTTTCTGCTTCCTTCGCTCCTCTTTTCTGACAGCTAACCCCCAAGTCACTCTTGCGAGAATTCTGGACGCCAGCTCTGCTTCAAGGGAAGCTAAGTTGGAGCAGCTCCTGTTCTAAACACAATTTTGTGCTGCCTTTCCTCAGAGAAGTCAGAGGGAGTCTTTAAAAGACAAATTTATCTTGGAAAAAAATTACAAATTACACTTTTCCTTTTTCATTGTTTTTTCCCCAACTGTTATTTTGTTCTTTTTCCTCAACATGTGAACTTAAACAACAGATGAGATAAAAATGGTGACATTTTGAAATGAAAACACACCTATTAGACTTCATGTGGAAGACTACGATGGTTCTGCTTCTGCAGCGAAGCCCCTTTGTTCTCTTCCTTCACTAATTGGATCTGGCTGAGAAGCGCAAATCACCAATCGATTTTTTAATAAGCATAATGTGGCCACTCTGATGTGGCTGATTTCCCTTGCCTTTTTAATTCTTGGCAAGCTGTTAAGATTGCTAACAGCTCACTGTGACCTTATATCTGCATCTCAGGGGATTACATTCAGCAAGGGATCCAGTAAAAATATTTCCAGAGGCAACAATTTCTAAAGTAAAAGTTTAATATTTTAAAAGTCCATGTTGATCTCTGCCTTGGTCTTAAATGCTTTTGGTGTATAGTTCACCCAGGATTTTCTTCATGGTCTGCTGAACTAGAGCATTTATTCATTTAACAAATGATTGCTGAACTCTTTCTTTAAACCAGGCACTGTACCAGGTGCTGAGAATAAAATATTGAACAAAATAGGTACAGCCACTTCCTTTATTGAGTTCATGGACTAATTATAATCTAGAGTGTAATCTAACATTCACGCCAGTCATGCACTATAATTATGATCAGCTCTATGGTAGACATATGATGCTATGAGACCTCACTGAGGACATTTGATCTAATAAGGGCTTCTCTAATGATGGGATAAATTAATTGACATCTGAAGAAAGAATAGAGTTAATTAAGTAAAGATGGGGATACTAAAGTTTGAGCCAAGGGAATTAACATGTGAAAAGATCCTAAGGCAGGAGGTAGGTAGCAGGGGGCATTGAAGAAACTGCAAGAACCCCAATTGGAGCATGAAAAAATACTATTTAAGATGAGACTGGAGACATAGTCAGGGAAAAGGTCATACAAAGTCTTACAGGAAAAGTTAAAGAATTTTAATGTCTCCTGACAAAAATGGGCAATTACAGAAGAGTTTGGAGGTGTGTATATGTGTGTGACATGATCAGAGGAGCAGAGTATTCCAGAAGTTGGAGGCAACATTTGGCAAATGAGGACAAAAGAATGAGCAGAACCCCTTGGGAAAGCAGAAAGCAAATCGGATTGGGTGGGCATTAAAGAGGGAGATTATAAATGGTGTGAGATGTGGCTGGGATGATTCAGTGTGGATCAGGGCAAAATAGACTAGAATCATGGGGTAAGTAGTAAGGATTTTATACTGAGAAACTTGAAGAGAATGGCATGAGCAGAAATGCATTCTAGAAAGATTAGTTTAGATCAGCACTGTCCAACTGAGCTCTCTATGAGGAAGCAACTTTTCCATAATTGGTACTTATCACAACAGAGTGGTCACTAACCACATGTAACTATTGAGCGCTTGAAGGCGGCTTAAGCAACTGAGGAAATGAATTTTTAAGTTTTACTTAATTTTCAACTTTACTTAAGATGGCTACTATCTTAGCACAGGCCTAGTCACAGTATGGAGTGTGTGTGCAGGGGAGGGAGGAGTGGAAGGTTGGAATGAGGAAAAGGAGTGGGAGAGGAGTTAGGAATCCCGGAGACATAGGATGCCAGGAAGAATAAAGAGAAAAATCATAGAAGCATGAAATGAAAATATTTAATTTACTTTGTCTAGGGCTTAGAGAACATGAAGTGAATATGAGAGAGAAAGATCTAGGTTAAATTCAGATTATAGACAGCCTTTCATGCCAGGCTAAGGAGTTTGGGCCTTCTTTGCAGAGGAGCATGGATCTCTTTAAAGTTTGTGAAGAGTGGCATTATTTAATCAGAACTTTCAGAAATGTGCTTGCCAGAAACTTCATGTAATCAGACGTGTAAGATAAATTCTCACAGATATGTTTTATTGGATCCCTTGTGCCATGGCGTGATGCCACATTCATGTCTTTCTTCGCCTGAGGATTCCTGGATGGCACGGATCACACTATATGGTTTTCCCTCTCTTGACCTCAAAGGACCTAGTTGCCGGAAGAATGTTGAACATAATTCCAGAATAGTTCATGAGAGCCTGCCTGAGACACCACGGGGAATAGTGTGCAGGCGATGGATGCAGAAGCATTTGGGGGTGCCATACATGGAAGTTAGCAGCTGATTACATTTGAAAATCTTTTCTCCCCCACAATGCTCTAGACTTCTTAAGCTCAGGCACTGGGATTCTGCCCAAGGACTGAGTATTCTACTCATCCTTTTAAGCACATGGCAAAAGCTTGGTGCCAACTGAAAGGCAATATTTAAAACCACTTTTTTCTGAAGTGTTTATTCGAGATCTCTAAGAATGAAATACTTTTTTTTACATACTTCCCGAATGCCTTCCCCAAAGTTTACATCAGTGTATACCCCCGCCCAGAGTGTGCAGCTCTGCTCTTTGTCCACACCTTGTCAGTACTGGAAATTACCAGTTTATTTTTTTCCCCAAGCAGAGAGGTTAAAAGTGAAATACTATTACTTTACTGTGCATTTTACCGATTGCTACTGAAGTTGAGAATCTTTTCGTATATTTAGTATGCATGAATTGTTCATTCATTTTGGTTAACCCAGCTAAAAATTTGGATTTCTTTTCCCAATGATCAATGGGAATTCTTTATGCATCAGTGATACTAGCCTTTGATTTTTTATTTTTTTGGAAATATTTTATTCAAGTGTGGTATTTTTGCCTTTTAAAATTATGTAAAGCATTCTTTATAATAGGAAAGTTCTAAGTTTTACATGGTAAATGTGATTTTTTTTTCCTTTGTGCCTTTTATGTTTTATGTGATGCTGACAAAGACTTTTCCATAGTAAGATTATAAAGATATTCTCCTATGTTTTTTCCTTGAGTACTTATAGTCATGCTTAAGCTTGGATCTTCAGTCCATCTTAAATTTATTTTTGTGTGTTAGGTGAGGTACAGATCTAATTTTAGAAAATAATTTCCCCAGAAGAAAATGCAGCCAATCAACTCCTGCCTGCTGATAGTCAAAGTCAACCTCATGGAATTATGCCCGAGATTCAAGGGTTTAATGAGGGGTGATAAATGTGGATTTAATACATTGTCTCATTATTTCTCTCTGTCTGCCTGAGTTGTAGTCAGAGAGAAAATAATCTTGCTCCCATTTAACCCATTTAATTTACAATCACTTTGAGATTCCATAGGTCATAGTCTCCACATTTCCTAATATAGTGTTCTATGCATAGCAATGATTAAAAATATTTGTTGGGGCTGGCCCCATGGCCTCGTGGTTAAGTTCAGTGCACTCTGCTTCAGCAGCCTGGGTTTGCAGGTTTGGATCCCAGGCACAGACCTACACTATTCATCGGTCATTCTGTAGCAGTGGCCCACATACAAAATAGAGGAAGATTGGCAGATGTTAGCTCAGGACTAATCTTCCCCTGGCTAAAAAAGAGGAAGACTGGCAATGGATGTTAGCTCAGGGCAAATCTTCCTCACCCCCACCCCCCACCAAAAACAAATTGTTGACAAATAAAGAAGAGATTAGAGAAAGGAATGTAAAGAAAAGTATAATACTAACCAAGCCTTCAAAGTTAACCTAGTAGAATAATATATACTCTATTCAACTAGATTGAAGTGGACGGAGTAAGAATCATGAGAGAGGAACAAAGTGAAGTCTTAGTATTTTCACCATCCCAGCAAAGTGTTTAGGATGTTTAGAGATAATATATACAAACCATTCAGTGCTGGCACATAGTAGGGCCTCATTACTGGTAACTAGAACATAATTATTTTTATCATTTCAGGTGTTCAACAGAGAGAAACAATTCTCTACCATGGAATCATTAAGTTTTTAAGAGGAGAGAATTTCATGCATGAAATAAGAGTCTAAATGCCCTAATAAATGTTGAATTTTAAAGCTTTCATATGGTTAACAACACAGCTAAAAAATAATAGTTGGAATTCACTGTTCTTTAATGTTGATGTTCTTTTCCTAAAACTAGACATAAGATTACAAAAAATAAAGAATGGACATTAACAGGGGTTATTCAAATTATATGTCTCCTCTGTCATAGCTTGTGTCTATTGCATTCTAAATTAGGACAAAAGCAGGGACCAAACTAATTTATAAAATGCTATGACTTTAAATATCATGTTAGGAAAAAGTCAGTAGACAGAATAAATCTGAAGTGGCTGAAATAACCCCCTTTGCCTTGGTTGGCATTTAAACCTTTGGGCCTGGGATTCACTGATGTGGCCCTTTAAGGGGATTTGAATCTATAGGCTCCTCAGCCCAAGAGTTTTTAAAAATACAAAAAGCGATGTGGCCTTAGAGATAAGACAAGCATCAGACTGTCACTGTGAAGCTGCTTTGCTATTAAATGGCCTGTTCCCAAGTTTGAATCAGTAATCTACCGGTAGAAAAGCTTTGAATTTGCTGGCAAAGATGAAAGATGCTCAGAAGCTATTACCTTAAAATACAAATTGATAGATAAATCGGCTGTGGAAGTTTAGATTCTGACCTAAAGGGAAGTGGAGAATTGAATTGAGATAATTATCTTCTTAACCTCAGGCAAAATTAAAGTTCACCTTTAAAAGAGTCAGATCGTTAATGCCGAAGTATAGATTCTAATTCACTTACATGATAAGGAGTAAAAAGAAGTTACTAAAATTGTCTAGATTTATTTAAAATATTATAATTTGTAAAGTTTCACTTAAACATGTGTTTAAAATATGCAGAAAACTCTCAAGGACTTGGAAAATAGGGAGGAAAAAGTGTCCCTGAATATTATTTTAGAGGAAAACCTCTCTGTTTCTCCTAGCTTGCATTTGCCTCTGGTATTCAAATCAAGGAAACAGGAAAAAAAAAAAAAAGATAGACATTAATAGGGATCATCTCAAATTAAATGTCTTTACTTCTCATTCATTGCCTGTATGTATTATATTCTAAATTAGAACAAAAGCAGAGACCAAACTAATTTAGAAAATGCTTTGGCTTTAAATAGCTTAAGTCCAGATAAATCAACACAGAAGAATCATAATCCCAGGGAACAAATCAAAATCTAGTTATCATCAATAAGAAATTCATAGCTTCAAGTTTTGAGGGATAATTGCTAAATAATTTGCTATGTGTTGATCTCCGAGAGGGAACTGATGTTCCAGTGGAAGCTTATTTCCCAGTTAGTGTCTGCGTCACTATCACTGCCTTAACCAGACCTGACTCAGACAAGAAACAGTACATCAATCCACCAAAGGACAGTATTGGCAGGTAGTCTTAACCCCAGTGAGGAAACACTGCAGGGTTAGGGGAGAGTTTTTATTTCCTCAAACAGGAGCCCACGAAGGGTTTTGTGTCCCAGTAGCTTGGGAGGGTGCGGAGTTAAAGCTTCAGAGTGGGAAGGAAGAACTGGACTGAATAGGAATAACCCACCCTAATAAGTCAACTTTCTCTGCACGAGGCTTCTAAAGTACCTTATTTTCAAATCAGATCTAAATCAGCCAAGTAAGTAGAGAAACGCAGGCACAAAACCAAATTATTAAACTAAAACTCATGATTCAGATTTCATTCTCCATGCATTTTAGGATGAATTATAATTTAGTAAAGAAAGAAGAAGCAACATTTGGAAAGTGGTCTCATGTGTTCACCTCTCATTGCAAGAGCAGATAAAGTCTTTGAAACAGATGTTCTCTAAGAACATACAGAAAACATAAAAATATAGTAACTAGGATATGTCTCCAAGGTATCTTTTCTAAAATCAAAAATTAAAATTCTCTAAAATTTTACTTGGAATTATACAAAATGAAGGACACGAAATTTTAAAAGCAAAGCATGCATCATGATTGTAAAAAATCGGAGACTTCACATTGTGTCACATTAAATTGTTCTCATGTATAGCTATGTGGTTATTCTTTGATTCTTTTATTACTCTACTCTCTGGATTATTCACACAAACTCCTTTTTTGTTTGTCTGTTTGTTGCTGAGAAAGATTCACCCTGGGGTAGCATCTGGGCCAGTCTTCCTCTATTTTGTATATGAGTTGCTGCCACAGCATAGCGGTGGACGAGTGGCATAGTTCCACATCCAGGAACTGAACCGAGGCCACTGAAGTAAAGTGTCCTGAACTTAACCACTAGGCCATGGGATCGGCCCCACAAGCTCCCTTTTTTAACCAAATATTCCAGAATACAGCTTCTTGGGTTTTTTTTTGGAGGAAGATTAGCCCTGAGCTAACATCTGCATCCAATCCTCCTCTTTTTGCTGATGAAGACTGGCTCTGAGCTAACATCCGTGCCCAACTTCCTCTACTTTATATGTGGGATGCCTGCCACAGCATAGCTTGCCAAGCGGTGCCATGTCCGCACCCGGGATCCAAATCGGCAAACCCTGAGCTGCCAAAGCAGAAGGTGCGCACTCACCCACTGTGCGACCAGGCTGGCCCCAGCTTCTTGATTTTTCGTTTTTTTCTTTATGTTTAAATTTATAAATGTTTTCATTCATTTGATCATTTATTGAACAAATGTTAATGAATGCCTATTTGGAATCAAGTAGGATGCTAAGTACTGTAGTGCAATGATGGCTTAGAATAGACACAGTTTGTGGACCCATGCAGATAAGAAATTACTAATTGAAGTAACTGCTATGAAGGAAAACCATATGATTCAATGAAAACATGAGAAAAATATCTCAGCACAGGATTTTTGTTATAAACTGAGTAAAATAGTCATTTATTAGTGTCAACACCAGGATATTCCTCTCTAGTTTGTATGAAGAAAGGTCCTGAAAACAAGAGGAAATTGCTACAAACCTTAGGATTCATTGCAGGCAACAGAGGCACAGTGTAGAAACACTATTCCTCTCCCTTCCCACCAAACAAGAGAAATTTATATGGTGTGTTAAGTAGGCAGAGAAGGAACCATCAAAAATAACCCAAGATAAGAAAATCTGATCAATATGCTCACAAATGTTTCCTTCTATCTAGTAGTCACATTGCTTCTAAAAGGATCAGAATTCCGTTTAGTTTGGATTTTGCCTTTTTATTTTGGTTTCTAACTCAGGTGGGTAGAAGATAGTTTTCAACATATCCCTTGTACAGAGCTCTCAATTTAAACGTGTGAACATGAGAGTTGAATATACGTTTGTGTGCAAATGCCTTACCGTTTTTGCTAAGGCGCTGTGTGGCGCTATCTTTGTTCTATGGCAGGAGATTACGTGGTCATGACTGTCTACTTTGACCTGAGCAGAAGAATGGGCTACTTCACCATCCAGACCTACATCCCCTGCACACTCATCGTCGTCCTCTCCTGGGTGTCTTTCTGGATCAATAAGGATGCTGTTCCAGCCAGGACTTCTTTAGGTGAGACTCATTTCTTGGTGTTGTAGATCCCAAGATAAGTACCCAATATCAGTGATCTTTGCTCCCTTTTCTAAATTGATTTGCACTGAATTTAGTCAGCAATTACATAGAAATGCCATTTGTTTCATTTTAGAGAAAACTAGCGTATAAAAAAGAAAGACAATGTTTAAAGCTTCCTAATTCTGTTTTCCTTAATTACCTCAATAGGTTTTCTTCAGTAACTTTTCCTGATAAATTTCAGTTAACCCGGATATAAGCAAATTTGTAATTTCAACAGAGTTTTTGGTCTTGGTCTCTGGGCAGCTATATGCTGGAGCTGCTCACACCAGTTCGTGAGAGCTGATTGCCCTTTTCCAGCGATGTGTTCAGTGATATCACATTTGTAGCTTGAAATCAGCCAAAGGGAGAGTATTAACAACATGGAAATAGACACACACTAAAGATGAGGAGCTTCTTCTTCTAGAGTCAATTGTCACACATTTACCAACATACCATTGGCTGTTGATTAATTCTAATGTGCATAATTATCATGATGATATTTGAAGACACACATACATAGTAATTGGCTCTTTATAAAAGAGCCATTGAAAGGATTATTTTTGGGAAAACACAATTACATGTGAAATTTTGGGAACCCCTCCCCTCCACTTTTAAGATTATTTGCCATTTGCTCCATCTATTGCGTGTGGTGATGTTTGTCTTGGATTTTCACATGTTTTTTCCTCACATGAGGAAGAAGGCTCATAGAGATTATAACAAAACCACAAACTCATAAGATCTTTGGAGTCTAGACCCATGAACAAAATTTTCATACTGACATAAAATTCCTTAAAGACTTAGCTAAGTAAGAATAGAGCTACTGAAAGATGACTTATAAAACCACAATCCTGTTTCATCAGCCATGTGAAAACTAGAACCACATCCCTTGCTCACTCTTCAGCTAGAGAGGCAGGATCATGCAATAATAAAGAGCTTGGATTTTGAAATCTAACAAATCTGGATTTCGACCCATATGTATAATATGGTCTTGGAAATGCCCTTTAATCTCTATAGATCACAATTTCCTCACATGTAAAATATTTATCATTTCCTGTACCTAACTTGTGGGGTTTTATTAGGTTAAATAAGGTATTCCATGCAAAGTGCACAAAACATAATGAGGCCTCAGAAATGTGAGCAGCCGTAGTCATTTTCTGACAAAATGATCTGTACCAGCTTATTAAAGGGCAGAAGCGATTACTGGGGAAAAAAAGACATCATTTGCATATTTGTCCTATTCCAAACCTAATTTAGTCTCCCATCTGTTTCGAAATAGTTATTTTGATTTTTTCTGTTATATGTGGTACTTTATAAGTCCTATTCAACAATTATAATATCTTGTCTAAGGCTACATGCTGAATCAAACCCAAAATATGTTGAGCCTATTACTTGTCACTCTGAGTGAATGTGTTGCATTACATGTTATGTCTGTCTCTCATATCAGAATGTAAATGTCTTTTTCACTCCCGGTATAGTCCTGGCATATAGCTGGTACCTCAATGATTATTCAAGTAATGTATGCACTTGTGAATGGATGGAACAAATGCACTGATGCATTCCAATCTACTCATCCCAAAAATATTTTAAAGAAAAGATTTCAAATCAATCTCTTCTCTAGAAGTTCAGACTCCTACTGTTTAAAATCTCTGTTATGGCCACACGGGTAGCTCACTTCAATTATTCATTAAATGAATGCTCACTGGCAAAAGACCATGGTGGGAGGGATCAAGGTGAGTGAGCTGAGGAATGAGGAATGAGGGAGAGGCCCCTGAGCAAATAGTAGCTTAGTGTTCCTATATGATCATTGACTACAAGTCAGACATGTTCTATTTGGTTCCCATGTCTTTTCTGCTCTTCACAACTGCATGTAGACATTGCTGTAATAATAATAAAAATAACCACATTTTTCAGAGCTAAGGAAAAAGAGGTGCTGCAAGGTTAAATGACTTACACAAGGTCACACAACCAGTAGGTGGTGGATCTGCACCTTAGCTAATGAGACCCAGGTTTGCTTTGGGTGTGAGGCCTTGTCGAAGGCCAGTTGTGGCGAAAGGTGGGCAGCTGGGTTGAGCAAGTTTCTCTATTTTAACTTTGGTGTCTCACTTCTCTAGATCAGTATTTCTTAAATTATACAGCACATTTAAATCACTAGGGGGCTTTGTAACGTACAACTGCCTTAGTCCGCCCCCAAGAAACGCTTATTTAATTTGTTGCCAGCATGGCCTCGGGGTTAGGAGACAGAAAAGAAATTTCCCCTGTGATCCTAATGTGCAATCACATTTTAGAACACTGACCTAGATTTCACTGGGTCCAGTTACCTTTTCCAATATTTACAACCAAGAGTTAAGCCAGGTGACCTTAACCACTTGTAGATTTCAGGCTTATTGCCACAGAACAGTTAGAACCAAGTTGTTTTATGAATGAGATAAGTAGACTCACATGGCTGGCAGACTCTGGCTGCTTTCTGAGCTCAGACCACTAGAGCCTGGGGGAATCCTCATCCTGGAGCTTATAACACTTGAATATAGTTTGGTACAGAGGTGGTAGCTGGTGAGGTTTAATCATAGTGTAATGACAATGGATGAAACAATGAAATTACCGATTAGTACTTCTGACCCAAGTACTCAATTAGTACTCTGACCCAATCTGAGGTGAGGTAGCATGCCTGCAGAGCTTGCTTCATGCCAAGACTGGAGGAATTGGTAAAGGCTATGGATGTTTTGCATCTACTGCAGGTAAGAGAAGTCTAATTTCTTTGCTTAGCAAGACTGGACTTAAAAACCACATCAAGCCATCTTGTTGGTTGGAGAATCAGTTAAAACTCCCACTTGTCCACTCATCATTGTATTCCTCCCTGTAGCTCCAGGCAGAACTTTGTAAATTTTTAGTTTATGCTGTCAAGACAATTCTGACTCCCAGCAACCCTGTGTAGAGCAGAGCAGACCCTGCCTGGTCTTTCTATACCATCCTCTCACCTTTCTGCGCTGTACCAGACAACGCTCCGCTGCTGTTCATAGGGTATTCATGGCCAATTCTTTTCAGAAGTGGGTGGCCAGGTTCTTCCTAGTATGAAAGCTCTGCTGAAATCTGTCTACCATGGGTGACCCTGCTGGTGTTTGAAATACTGATAGCATGGCTTTTAGCAGCACAGCAATATGCAGCTACCACCGTATGACAACCGACAGATGGCTCATGTGGTTCCCTGACTGGGAAATCTTACATTTATCGACACTTTACTAGGAATTGGCACTTTGTGAACATTATTTAATTTAATCTTGAGAAGAACCCTATGAGGTCCTCCCCACACCATCCCCAGTCTCTAGACGAGATACTTAAGCATTCCTAAGTTTCTGTCACGACAACATGGAAGACCCACAGACCCACATCATATCCTGAATTAGGAATCTACTGTAGCTCCCAAGTGTCTGGTGTTTCATGCCACATATTATGTACCTCTTCACAGAGAGGAAATAGAACAATGTGGTTCACGGTAAAGCATTTGAAGTCAGACTTCCTAGGCTTGTATTTCATCTCTATCACTTACTAGCTTGGATAAATTTCTTATTCTTTCTGTGCTTCATTATTTTTTTTCACCTGCAAAAAAAAAAGAATAACAGTGCTTATCTCATTGTGAGGATTTTGTGAGATAATATATAAAGTGCTTGACCCAGTCCATGGCTAAAGGAAGAGATCTCTAAAAGTTAGCGACTGTTATGTGAAATTAAAACTCTCTCCCACAAGTCATCAATATGGATTCCTACTTTCAAATGTGGGTTGAGTCTCTTTGACCTTTCATATATTCACTATCCCTTGATTGTTTCATTTACTCATTCAGCAGATAATTATTGAGTCCCAGCACTACACTCGACTGAGAGGTTACTATGGACATCAAGATGGATGTCTTGTCTGTTGTTACAGAGATTATCGACTAGAAAGGGAGATGGATAATTCTGTAATCAGTAACAATAGTGTTGGAAAGGTGCGATAGCTGTAGTTTGTAACTACAGTTCCCTTTATCATCCCTCTCTTCTATTAAAACTTACTCTTTTCTGCGAAGTTATTTCAACCACCACTGATCTTGACAGTTGACTGTCTCCTGGAAATCTCTTGGTCAGCAGTAGTAGAATTGCACAGTCTTAGATGATGGAAATTTCCCCTTTTCCCTCTTCCTCATCACAAATGTAAGTCACAAAGCTGGAGATGGTAAAGGCTCAGGACTCCTGCTTTTGGAGTACAGAAAGATGCATCCAGTCATGATAGGAAATGTTGAATTTAGAATCAGAATGGTAAGAAATGAGTGGGGCTTCAAAGAGTTAGTCCAACAGATGGGAAACTGAGACCTAGACTGTTACGTTGACTTCACTTCCTACTGCTGGAGCTAGAACCTATTCAAATACTGAGTACGTGTTGCCTTTGTTATAAATAACACAGCTTTTACAGAAGGAAGGTCCCTGATCCTTCTCTGGTAGATGCATATAGGTTCTCTTAACTTTGTTCCCTGTCATTAAACAACCATTGGGAAGGCTAGTTTGGTGGGCCCTGTTGTACAATGAGACAAAGAAGGGTTTTGAAATCAGACATTTAATTCCTATGTTCAAATCCTCCTGATACTTTACTAACTGTTCAATATGGAGCTGGTCTTTTAGCCTCATTTTCCTCAACTATAAAATCAAAATAAAAATATCTGCCATAAAGATTCAAAGAGAGACCATCCATAAAATCTTTATCACAGTACCTTGCACAACGACGTTTTCAGTAAATATTAGTTATGATGTTACTTCTGAAATACTTATTTTCATCCTATAATAGTCTTTAAAGAATGCATCAATCAGAACATGTCACTCACACACAGCTCACCTCCTCTATTTAACACCTTTAAATGACTTCTCTTTGCGCTTTGAATAAAATGCAAACTTTTTGCCTGCACTGCATGATAGAACTTCTATCTATTTCCTCAGCATCACCTTGATACCCCTGCCCCTCCCCAGATGCCAGGTATACTAAAAATTTAAAAAAGAAGGTTTTCCTTCCTCAGCATCTGCCCTTAATTTATTTACTCTGCGAATAGTTAAAAAGTTGATTTCTTCTAATTTTTTTAAGCTTACCTTAAACCTCACCTCCTCAAAAAAGCCTTCCCTCAACATCCATCTAACTAGGTTCTCATCATCCCTGCTCTTCTCCATGGCACAGACCATAATTTGTAGTTATACTTTTCTTTATTTACTTGATTCATAATGTTCTCTCTCACTAAATTGTGGGGTACATAAGGGCAGAGACCATGTCTATTTTATTTCTCAACATATACGCAGTGCTTGTCACAGTAGCTGATAGATCATAGGCAGGCAATAAATATTTGTGTACGGAGTGAATGAATTCCAATTAAACTCCCTTTCCCATTGCTGAGGTTGCTTATCAGAAGTCACAAAACAAGTTTAGTCTCAGTAGTGACTCACTTACCCAGCTTGCTGACGTGGTCACAAAATTTTTATTGTGCTTCTCTTCAGGTATCACCACTGTCCTGACAATGACTACCCTCAGCACTATTGCCCGGAAGTCCCTCCCCAAGGTCTCCTATGTCACAGCAATGGATCTTTTTGTATCTGTCTGCTTCATCTTTGTCTTCTCTGCTTTGGTGGAGTATGGCACTCTGCATTATTTTGTCAGCAACCGGAAACCAAGCAAGGACAAAGACAAAAAGAAGAAAAACCCTGTATGTATCATTTCCTATTGGGACCACTGAAATTTTTATGCAGAAAGACCACCGGTTTGTTTTGGTTTGGTCTTGCTTAGACTATCTCCAGGTTAAGCCTCAACACTTTGGGCTCCAAGTTGAAAAATCAATGTGTTTGTTTGGCTGGGCCATAGGGATTCATTATGATCATTAGTTACTCGAGAGAGACCTGATTCTAAGGAACACTCTTACTCTCTTCATTTCATGGGGAATATAATCATTTCTGAGAAATGCATGCATTTTTCTAGTTGCTATTATTCCAGGTCTCACTGATTTTCATCTTTCTGCCACTTTGCTATAGTTTTTTAAATTATTGATATTTTAAATTAAAATTTTCATCCAAGGCTTTCTATTAGGAAGCCACAAGATTCTTGAAGTTTCAAGGACCAACTTTTGCAAATAATTTAATGCGTGTGTGTGTTTTTGTGTGTTGCCCCCAGAGGACTTCTATTGGTTTTAAACTAAGTGTCTCTTTTTGTTTTTAAAAGAAATGGCTCATCTATTGTTTGAGCAAGTCACTTAGCCTCCCTGTGTCTTCATTTTTTCATATATAGAATGAGAATATATTACAAAAAATACATATCTTATGGGGCTGCTGTGAGAAATAAATGTGGTAATGGAAGTAAAAAGTATTTCATGGTACCTTAAACAATAAAAGTCCTTACCATTAATAGTTGATGATGATGGTTAATGTTGATGATTTTTATTGTTACCAACCTGGGTTGATTTTGGCGGTTTGGAAACAGAAAGGATGACTTCACTTTGCCACCAAATTTTAAGTGGAGATAATGAGGCACAACTACAAATGCCTAAAGCAATTGTCTTTTATCACGGATGTTGAAGAGAGCACGTAGATACCCATTTACCCACCTAAACACAGTGTCTGGCTCATAAGACACACCATGACAGTTAAGGTCCATTACTTTTCAAAACAGGGGCAAAGGAATTCACCCTACACTCCTGAATTTATAGCCTTTCCTGGTCTTCTGCTCTAAGGCTCATGAGGGCTATAATAGTGCATAGCAATCTGACCTAAGGCCTTTGGGGACTGAATTATAATGAGGGACTTTAGCTGAGTCTAGGTTGTACCCTGTTGCATCTCCAGAAAGCCCAGTGAAATTCTACAAATGGCATATGTTTATTTGAACGTAAGAATTTGTAACAGGTAAAGAAAGAAGCAGGGTTATTCTTGATGGTTAATAAAAAAGAAATGCTTATCTTTAATTTCCCAAATACTCACTACGCTTTATGCAGTCCCGTCCTTCCCTGTCTGTTTGCCTGTTTCTGCTTTTGCATTTTCTCTATCCTTATTTTCTTTTCCCTGTTGTATTGTGTTTTGTTTTTCCCCCCTCCTTTACTTTCCATTCCATTCCCCCCCCCCCAAAAAGATGGTTCTATTGACACTCAGCATTATTACCTGCCAGCTGTCACAAGGATGTGAGGAATGGCTTTCACACAAGCCTGAAGTATCCTTTGGAAAAAGCCTGTTGGCTCTCTCTAACAGCTGAGTGGATCATCATTGCAGAGTGGATTCTGTTGCAGAAATGGAAACACTTGGATTCTTTAATCCAGGGTCATGAACATTACAGAAGAAGAAAAGAAGGCAGAGGAAAAAGGGGATTAAACAAAGTGACAAAATGAAATTACCTGAGAATTTCATGCATTTCCCCCTTTTAAGCCAATTAGATGATTTACCAGAACTAGCAAGAGCCCAAGCTCCGAATGAGAAGCTGAAATTTCATTTTCCTATTTAATATGCCTTTTGGTTCATGGTGTCAAGATTCATCTATTAAGGCCTATTTGATGATAATTAGAAAATAAAATCACAGTATTTCTACACAGGGAACCTGGGCAGTAAAAGTTTCCTTACCAGTGAACAACACTGGCTTTTGCAGTTAGACAATTGTGGATTAATTTACTGAAGATTTCACTAGCAATCACCAAATTCCATTGTCCAACTTTAGGCCATGTACTTTATTCCAAGCTCAGAACTGTCCTTCTGTGTTTATAATTTCAGTTCATTTCACTTACTATGTTTTCAAAATGTATTTTTAATTTATCTTATTTTGTCTCTTTTTTCTTTTCTTTTTCTCCCTCTTTTAATTAAAAAAATGCGATTCTCTTTTCTGTCTACAAACCCAAAGCTTCTTCGGATGTTTTCCTTCAAGGTATAATGTTTTTGGAATGGAAATTCACTGCATGCAACTGCTAAATTTAACTATTAACGCTTACATGGTGTTTTATTTTTTTATGAGTAAACATTTAAGCATTCTACTAGAGAAAAAACAGTTAAGATGGAGAAAGTTCTATAGATTTCCAGAGTTGATTCAGCAACCCTACACTAATTCACAGAGGTTTTGACCTTACATGAAGCTATAAACTCTATGAGATGTCATTAGTAAAGAGGGCCTCTTTAAACATCAAAGCCAAAGCTTACCCTCTCTTCTCAGAAGGAAATGTGACCCATTTTCACTGGGTGCACCTACCATATACTATATATACCCTATATTCCCTTAAATTTAATTTTGTAAATCCTAATTCAAAATAGTATTGTTTTTTGATAAATAAATTTAATAATCTCCACTGGTCTGAACTCTACCTGTCAGTTCTATAAAAATAATATTCTCTTTGAAATGTTTTAAGTTAAAATACCCATCCCTTCTTCCCAGGGGATCCAGGGGCCTTTTGGCTCCATCATGCAATATTACAAGGAGATTTCTATTCGCAGTTGAATTCTAATAGCTGATTCAGAGACATAGGATTGGTGTTTACGTTACCCTAAAACTAGCTTCTCCAAATTAATATTAAACGTCATTGAGTTTTATAACAATTTGATAATTGGTCTAGTAGTAAAGATTAGATTAGCATTCAGTTAATTGGTACTGGTTTCTTCCAAAATGCTAAAAAGAGTTTGACAGGTAGTAACATTTTTTTTCTGAATTTTCACTCACATGTAGGTAAACACTGCTAACATTCTGAAGCTTTTAGATGGTGAATGTTAGACAAAGGACTATATTCCTTTAAAACATAAGCCATACCATTGTCGTATAAACTCAGGAAATGTCTATATTTATACATATTTTAACATTTTCTATTGAAAGCTTTTAGTACATTTTCTCAGTGTAATGGAGGTTACTATTTGACTATAGGTAAGCATGACACAAAATTTTGATTTCAAAATTGATGCATTTTTATTTCTCTGTTCTACTCACATGCCACACCATTAAATGCCTTCATGTAACCAATCTCACATCTAATATTTACTACAATAAGATTCCATGTAGTTGTTTGATTTATATCTTTAAACTTTGAGTTCTTTTGGTGTTCAATCTTCTTGCTATAGCTCTTAGCTTGATGGTATTATTTTCAGCTGCACTGCTTAAGCTCAAAATTTGAAATCTGCAAATGTGCTCTCCTTCTGAGTTCAATTTTACCATTGTAGATCACAATGTCATAGCAATTTCCTGAGTACTCATTTTCAGATCCATCATTCACATTGGTGGCATTGTGGAGAAATAGTCTAAGATTTATCAGGAATGTTAACTCTGATCCGTCTCCTTCCCTACCCTTGTCTCAGGCCCCTACCATTGATATCCGACCAAGATCAGCAACCATTCAAATGAACAATGCCACACACCTTCAAGAGAGAGATGAAGAATATGGATATGAATGTCTCGACGGCAAGGACTGTGCCAGTTTTTTCTGCTGTTTTGAAGATTGCCGAACGGGAGCTTGGAGACACGGGAGGATACATATTCGTATTGCCAAAATGGACTCCTATGCGCGGATCTTCTTCCCCACTGCCTTCTGCTTGTTCAATCTGGTTTATTGGGTCTCCTACCTTTATCTGTGAAAAGATATGGCTTTTATTGATATGGGTCTTATTCACTAAACCTCATGGAGAGAAGATGTTCTTTCTAAGTCCACTTAAAAAATCTCCTGTGTGTTTATAATGATCTGAATTTGTTTCTATGTTCTAACCTGGTAAATTGTATTATTGTCATATTGTTTGCGCCCAACTCTCCTTTGATAAGTGTAATTTGAATTATAATGTTTGCTGTGTTTCAAACCTGCAAGGCAAAGTGAATTAGAGCAAGAACATTGAAACTAAACAAGATATTTTCCAGCTGCAGCAATTGAAATAGTGAAAGTCATGGCTATTTACAGTGGTGGTGTGCTTACTCAATTCAAAATGCAATTAGATGCAAAAGGTCCAAAACTGTACCCTATGTTCACCTGGGGTCAAGTTGTGGTATATTTCATCCCAATAGAATGTGTCCCTCATTTGAGAAAAATCACAACTCACTTCAAATATAAGAGCCTAGACTAGAAATCTATTACGCCTCTATCACAAGATAGGAAGAAAATTTCCTCTATATCACATGTACAATGATGTAAATATTTCAGTAACGTAGAATGCTTCAAGTTTAATGCATGCATCTCCTTAGAGCCAAAATAAATGGATTGAAGTTAACATCATAAAGTATTGTCTTTTATTCTGTGTCTTTGGGCTGTAAAAGAATCATGAATGTCATTATAAGGGTTTGGGTTTGGAATTGGAGGGACAAAATTTCACTACCTTCTCCTTCATGCATGAAGATTCAAAAAGCTTATTATTTTCCTTGTATGGCATATTAAAACACTTTAAGTAAAACATAGACTAGATAATCAACATTTGCCACCTCTAAAGATGCCCAGTTTCATAGAGTATAAAGTAATCATACTTGCTTGTCGCTATTTTTTCTTCCTTTTAGGATGATAGGTCATAGCAGAACTTATTCTCCATCTCAAAATCTGCTTCTAGTGATTGTGAGTGCCTTGTGGGCAGAATCCTTGTCATTTCCTCTTTGGGTCCTCAGCACCTTGCATAGTGACTGGCACATGGTGCTCAAAATATAGTGTGAAGTGAATTGGCTTCATATGCTTCTGGTGAATCTCTCCGTGCTGGCCTGGAACCAGTGATTGATCTTTTCACGTAGGCATTGTCAAATGATATTTGATCTTGTAGAAATAAACAGAAGGATCCAAAGAATATTGGCTATTTGTATTCATTATCAAAAATTTATTATAGCCAATGTCCACACTCTTTTTAAAACAACAATTATGTCCTATATTTGTGTACAAAACTGAGTCTCCTAGGGCATAATTAGAGTTTGTGTATTATTTTTCCAGGTTTCAGGATGAGTCAGCCTTGACTCATCCACAATTCCTCTTGAGGACATATGACAGGCATAAGCCGGATTCATACCTGAATAGCATTCAGAATGTAGTATTCTATGCCCTATGGGGAAAAAAATGTACTGATGATTAAATTTTAAAAAATGAAAGAACAAATGAATGACTTACATTCAGTTTGAGCCTAGGATTGTGGCCTCATTCAACTATACTGTAATCACATGGAAGTGGTTGTCTCAGACTTCAAACGAGGTGAATTGAGCTCCATTTACATGTACTTATCCCGAATCCTTATTTTTCTAAAATAGTACCCTTTGTCAGTTCTTCTTGTGATAATCATTACTCTAAGTCAGAATTCAATCATAGCTAATAAAATTTTATAGATAATCTAACAAGGGTAGAAAAGGAGAGCAGCTTCGTTAAACCATGTAAAGTCATCATCAACTCATCTGGATGAATCTTGAAACACATTTAGCTGCCAATTTTACAAACCTTTAATACATCAGTGCTCTAGTATATAACTTCAAACACATGTAAATAGAATTATTTATTTTCTTGTTTTGAATTGTTAACATTAAATGTTAACTCTTTGGGAGAGTTGTTGGCAAATTTTCAACAGTGAGAAACATGTTCTTATTGTCAACTTGCAATGTATTCCATGACAGGGACACTAAAAAAAGCTAGCTTTCCAATGTGTGCATAGTATTGGCAATATGAATATATACTACATATAATCTGATTCTTAACTATCAGCTGCTCCCTGTCTATGTATCTGAAAACCTTTTCACAAAGGGAATTGCCTAATATGTGGACTTTTACAATAAAAATGCTGCATTCTAATCCATGGTGTCGTGTCAGTGGTCTGGTTGGACTTGTTTGTCTTAATATCATGACCCTCTCTTTCCTGTCTCATTCCTCAACACTGCCTTCCCTTTATGTGAGTTTTATTTGTAAAGAGCGTGATCATGTTTTGCATGGTGGTGCTACTCGCTTCAAAAGAACTAAGAGATGCATTTGGGATGTGGAGTGGAGACAGAAGGCAGAAATGTCAGGAAGTAAGTGAAGTTCAAGCCTTCTGGACCTCAAAACTTGTGGTGTGCTTAAGAATATGGACACAGCTGTCAGTCGTAATAGGGATCCCACTCTACCATTTGCCAGTTGTTTGACAATTGTCAATTCATCCTTTATAAGGCTCTATTTTATCCACTATAAACTAGGTATAATAATGCCACCCTATGTAGTGACACTCAATTAATGGTCAAGAGGTCCCTCCCTCCCTTCCAGTGCCTTCCAAGCTCTGCTGCCGTGCTTCTCCCACCTCCATCCATCAGTTTTCCTTAAAAGATCCAGCAGTAGTCACATACGCTCTAATGTGACTCTATATCATGAAATTTTATTTTTGAAGAGTATTTGCTTTGCAAACCTTTTGTAAATCAAAAGTTGAAAATCTGAGTTCATTGTTGAAAAAATTTCACACATTAGCTTAGTTATTTCTAAGGCAAAGAACCCTTCTCTGTACCCCCAAAACTTAAAAACATAGGGAGCCATGCTCCAGAGACAGTGTGATATTTTCTTGAAACCTTTTGAAATTCTCAAAAGAATAATGCAGCGTAATCCTTCACAGTCATCCTAATCTTCTTCTGCCTGTCATTCTCTTGGCCCTTCGTGGCTTCTTACATCCGATTTAAACATCTATCTTTCACCTTCCAGACATGTTAAAAAATAGTTTTCACTTAGGTCTTGTCTTCTGTCTAAGTCAATGCCCTTATCTTTAGCTGAGTGCATATTTATTCTACGACCTTAATCCCTTATTTTAAGTCTCAATATTATTCTGACTACTAGCAACAATTTTTCTCTGTGATGAAGGTCAAATTAAATTAACCAAATGATGCAGTCTTTGGGGATTATGTCAAAAATTGCTATCTCTATGCTTTGTCACTATGGATTTTTGTCAAATGGGTAGGAGAAAGGGAGAATGACCTAGACCAATAACTCTGCTACATTTTTCAGTCCTTGTTGAATTTCCAAAGGTCACATAGCCAGTTAATGGGAAACCTGGGAGAGCCCCAGGGATGGCTCTTTCTGTGGGGCCTCGTAGTGTTTCAGGATTTGGAAGTGAAATTCTGGAACACTTTATCTTTCTGTCAATGCTTTAAAGTTAGTCAAACTTGAGGATGCGTTCTTTCTTTGACTTTAACCTCACTTTGAATATTTTAATTGCAATGAGACAGAAATTTTAGAATATCTAGCAACAGAGATAAGTTGAAGGATTTTGCATTTCTTTTATTCTCTATTTAATATAATGATCGATCAACATTCAATTGCCCACTGCCTTCAGAATTCTATTTGAAAGAAGGGATCTCTAATCATCTGAAAAATTCCAGACCTGGAGTTTGTCCCTCAGGGCTTGGGACAGTAGACAACCAAAGTGTTTCCTATAGCTAGTCTCTACAAGCTCGGTCTTTCTACTACATCGGGAAATTGGTGGCAGTGTTCTATTATTACTCATTCTTAAGTTAGAAATTATAAACCAATTACAAAATACAGCCGTAACATTCTTTTGCTATATTTGGGATAATAAAGAAAAGTTTTTCCCTATTATTGTTTGTAAAACAAAGTGGGAAAGCAGAGACTCTTGCTCCAGATTACCTAGGTTCAAATCCTGGCCCCGTCAAGACTTATTATCCAACTTTTCTCTGTCTCAGTTTCCTCATCTAAAAAATGGGGATAACAATGGTTCATAACTCATAGTTTTATTGTAAGGAATAACTGAGTTAATACCAAGGAGTGTTTGGATGTTATTAATTTTCCTCAGCACCGATGTGAAATGTCAGAAAAGAAAGGGCACAAGGCTCATAGTCTACCTTGTTTAAGAATAACGATTATCATTTTTGAAGTTAATTACTACATTTTTCCACTTTGTGGGAATGCAGTACAATATACATCTTTACTGACATTTTGCCACACTTTGGAAATGCATGTACAGAACGAAAATTCCAGAGCTAAGTATTTGTAAGTAACTATTTCTAAGTGAGACAGTGTATCGTTTAAATCACTATATGTGACACATATGAAGATACAAAGGTAGGTATCTTTTAAAAGGTAAAAAAGATGATTTCCCTTAAAAATATAGAAATACCTAACTGTGTTGCTAAATAAACATAAATAACATTATCAATAAATGTGTAGTTGCATTTTTTTTGCAATATAACTAAGCCAATAAATTATTTTGTAGCTAAGTTTACAAAATCCTTAATGAAAGGAACATGAGGACTCATTTTTGAGGACTCGTCCCATAAAAAAAGAAAAAAATGTCACTGAACCAGGGATAAGACTTAAAGTCACATCTTGGGATTTTCCTAACTGTTCCTATCTTGGGAGATTCAGTCTCTCCTATGTAAATGAGGGGATTTGGCCCCCTCTGCTTCTGAGGTATCTTGATTCTATCACTCCTCTGCTGTTTATTATGGTCTCATGTTATTGTTTCCCGTCTAACATTCAGACTCTCCTAAACTCTGTCATATCGCCATGCAGCTGTCTTGCCTCATTTGTCCTCTTTCCTCCGTGAGTCTTCTCTGAAATACTGTCATAGGCCTAGAACGCCTTTCTCAGCCAGTGCACTGTAACAGTCCCGAACTGAAGATTCTACCTGGTCCATGAACCCTTCCCAGTTTGACTCAAGTACAAGAGGCTATTTTCTTTTATCTCTTCCAGTACTTGGTATGATTTTTGATTAGCCCATTCCTAATGTTTACCTCAGCTAAGTACTTACATTCATCCAATCCTCTTAGTCAACAAATTTTAAATGAACAATTCTGTGACAAGAATATGATATAAATAATTCACTATCCATTTGCATCTTTAATCAGGTTGTTTATCTTCTGTCTCCCTGCTATATAAATTTTCTTCATAATTTTTTCTATTACTTGTGCTTTTTTATGGGTCTAGAAATAAGTTCCTCATAAAATAAGTTTTGGTTAAGCATCTATAAGTTCAATTCAATATAAGACTTTCAGTAAACACATATTGTGAGCCTCACTTAGGGCACTGTGAGGGCAGGAAGAAATAAATTTTAGGACATTCTCTGCTTCAAAATGCCCATAATATGATAGAGGAGTCAGATAAGAATTCAATTATAATGGAGCTGCACAAAGTAGCTGTAGGTAGAAGAAATTATTATTCTAAGTGTGGAGGAAACCAGGAAAAGTTTTCACTGTAATACAAAGTATTCCACCGTATGTGAGGAGGACTGCTTTAAACCTTTCTATCTACTAATGAAAACCTTGTAGAAAATTTGAAAAGTATGAAAATGCACAAAGAAAAAATATTATCCTTCATCCTTTAGTAAGAGTTAACCATTAAAAGCATCTTTTATCTTTTTCTCATTTATATTTCTCTAAATATTTAAGCAGACGATAGGTGATAGATAGATATAAGTATAGCTATAGATATAGGTGTACATATAGATCTGCTTTATAGCCTGCTTTTTTTCACACAATTAAGGTATGCCTATGTACATATGTAACAAACATTTCATGGCATTTTATTATTATATCACACAGCTATACCATAATTTATTTAGTTGGTCCCTATTTTGAAAATTTGCGCTTTTAAAAATTTTTGTTGTTATAAATAAGGCTACAGTGAATATCCGTATATATCTCAAGGGTTATATGTATCTCCAGCTATTTCCATAGAATAAATCTCTAAAAGTGGCTTTGCTGAATAAGAGGTATAAGCCTTACCAGAGTCCTGGCAGAAATCAGAGGGTACGCTCAAAGGAGTAAATGAAGAAAAATTAATGAAGAGGATATTTACAAAGATGTGGGCAAGGTTAAGGTCCACCAACAAAAGGATGGTGTAGAACCATGGATCTAACAACAGTGGGAAGCTATTATCTGAATTAGTTTCCATTGCCACTGTATCAAATTACCACAAACTTAGTGACTCCGCATCAATTCATTATCATATCTGAAAGTTGGAAGTCTCACCGGCTAAAATAAAGGTGTCCTCTGGACTGTATTCCTTCTGGAGGATCTAAAGGAGAATTTGTTCTTTGCTTTTTCCAGATTCTAGAAGCTTCTTACATTCTTGTCTAGTGACTTTCTTCTATCTTCAAAGCCAGGAATCACATCAGTCCAACCTCTGTTTCCTATACCATACCTCCAACTCCAGCTCTGACCTCCTGCTTCCGACTTATAAGGACTTGTGATTACACTGGGCCCACCCACACAATCCAGGACAATCTACTCAACTCCAGATCCTTAACTTAATCACATCTGCAGAGTCCCCTTTACTGAGTAAAACATCATATTCACAGGTTCCAGGCATTAGAACATGAACATCTTCGGGGTGCCATTGTTCTGCCCACCACACTGAAAGTACAAGAGGAAAGAGCAGTAATGGAACCTAGAAAATGGTGTACAACAGAAGCCACCCAACAAGGGCTGTGGCTTTAGATGGATGATATAATCACTGCCAAAGAGGGGCCAGGCAAGGAGGGAGGGTGAGAATAAGTACCTAGAAGTCTCTTTCTCCTACCTAAAGCTTCCCATTGGTCAAACCAAGTGGAAACTAGAAGGCAAGGAAACCCAGATAGTGTGGACCAGAGAGGTCAGCCTCATGGGGCATACTGCATGGTGAGGAAGGGTGGAGAATGGGTCTTAAGAACAGATGGAAATTATCCAGCAAATATCTCCAAAAATTAGCTCATGTAGTACATTACAGAGCCTCTTTATTTGCACCCTAGTCATTATAACTTTCTGATGATAAAGGTGAAATTTAGACCTTTTCAATTGATTCCTATTCCATGAGTAAAAGTAAGTCTTTAAAAGGAATCACACT